ATTATTTTCACGAAATGCTGATGTTCTGTCAGAAATCTGGAAACAAATGCCATTTTTTCAAAATTACAATAGTTCATCATTGTTTGGTCTTGATAATCTAATAGTAAAACGTGAATTGGAAAGAATTCACAAGGCCTCTTTACGATGTCAAGTTACTGAATGGAATGATCTAGAAATTATGAAAAAATTTTTTTATAAACATTTGTATCAGAATATTGCTACTACGAATTTGTCATGGTATCAATTTTTTGTCAATTGGAAAACACAAAAAAGTAATATTATTGAACTTACTAATGCCTTGAAGAAAATATATCCTTCTAATTTCACTGTAGATGATCGGATCTTGCGAAATTGGCGAGCAATGCTACGAGCAGTTGGATGTACAAATATCACGCCATTTTCAAAACAAGAATCAAAGGTTAGTAATTATTTATTTTATTATTATTTAAAACATGGTTGTTCAATTGTTAAATTAACAATTACTTTCAATAGCTTGAATTTTGGTCGTCGGCTATAGATCCTTTACCTGATAAGGAAACTATAGAAAATTTGTATAAAGCGGGATTATTAAATCTTGGACTAATTATTCAATCACAAAAGAATGAAAAATCAGAAACTAGTACTGAGTTAAAGTTTTGGCGAAGCTTTGAACAAGCCTTGGATCAAAATAAACGGGGTCTAAATGGTATACAATGAATAGTATCAATAATTGCAGAAGAATTCGGTCCAAAAGAATTACACAATAAATTGAAAGTAAGATTACTTTATTAGTATTTTTTTTTTAGATAAATTATTTATTTATTATTTATTATCTTGTTTAATTAGATATCCCATAATCTTTATTACGCTGGGAAACACTACGCGCATGTTAATGGACCAGGATGTTCCATTATTGAAAAACCTGTGATCAAAAGATCACGCATTTCAAATATTCAAGACGCGCAATTCTTGGCCTTTTTTGATGATAAGAATAATGTTAGTATGAGTTCATACGCAGTCGACAAAAAAACAGGATTACCTTTATTATATTTAAAAGATAACAAAGAAGCATTATGGAATAAGTTCAAAGAAAAATATTCTAGTGGAATTAAACGAAACTCGTTTATGGCACGATTAGCCAATGGTTAATATGTTTACCGGAAAGATCTTGGAGGGCTGTGCAGTATCTGTAATGATTATGGGTATATAATTTTTGATGATTTGATACTGTTAATACAGACGAACGTCGAAGAAAAGCGGCTTCAAGTAAGTGATATCCATACCGATTAAATAAATAATATTGATATATCTAACAAAATTTTTAGAATGATTATATTAGTTAAATAGAAACATTACGCCGTCATTTACGTAAAGAATTTGAAAAAGAACTTACGATCAATAATCATGGTACTACACATCATGTAGAATGCATCAATCATTGTTTGATGTATGCTTTTGGTGACTGTAAAAACCAACACAGTATCCGATGTCAGCAATGT